AAGGCATCATATTGCATGCTTCTCAATTTGCTTAAGCAACATTATCAGTAAATAAAGCCAAATATAAACAGGCATTATAAATTCTAATATATTTTAAAAAGTTGATATTGGATTAATCTATAACACAATTTTATTTAAAACTACTTAAAAAAAGCAAAATAAAAAAATAAAAATTATTTAAAGGAATATATCAAAAAATATATATATATATCAAATGCAATTACATTTATTAGTATCAATTAATTTTTATGTAACAAAGAATGCAGACAACAATGCACAACATTGTTAAAAAAAATGAAGTCAGTATATATCTATCTAAAGTAATGAAAAAGATGAAACCATTTAAGAACAAAATTAAAAATTTCATTATTCTTTTGACAACTTCCAGAAGATTGTTTATTACTTTGGCTTTTCCTTGTTATTTTTTCTAAGAAAAATTGTAAATATAGATATAGAGAAATATAAAATATATTGAAATAAACGCAGATTTATGTATATAAACTTACATGTCCACAAATAACAGTCTTATTTTATTTAAGTTTTTATGTTAAATACATAAATAAAATTTTATTTTTATTAATCTTTCTACAAACAACCATCTTAATCTATAAATAATAAAATAAAGTGAACTTACTAAAAAGGCCTTCAGCTCCTTTGAATTGCTCTAAAAAATAAAACAATACTTGCTTATAATGTTCTTAAAGACTAAAGCAAAACTAAAACACTTTACTAAAAAAGAAAGATTGTACTAAAAAAGCTAACTTACCAGTCATTTCAGTTCTAACTTCTTCTAAAAAAAAGAAATCTAGAAAAATTAGAAAAATAAAAACAACCAACAACAAACAAATTTTATGAACAATATCAATTCTTGAATGAACAACATCAATTTTTCTTGAAAAAAAAAAAAAAAAATTTTGCCTTACTTCGCTAACAGACCTTGCTTGTAAGACCAAATAATAATAACAAAAACAGCAAACAAAAACAGCAAACAAACACAGCCAACAAAAACTCAACAAAAACTAAACTTGTAAAAAATAAGATAAATTTAAAAACTAAAACAAAAACGACACCAATAATAACAAAAAAAAGTTAAAAATTAAGTAAACAAATAAAAACAGCAGCAATAAAAGAAACTCTTGCAAAGCAGAAATTAAAAAAAAAATGTTGAAATTAATAGATTAGTATTTGTTTTATAAGTATAAAACAAATAGAAAACATAAATTTTAAATACCAATAGCAATGATATTAACAATAATATTAACAATAATAATAGCAATAATATTAATAAATTAAGCAACAATTATTACAATAATAAAGTAATTATATAATATTAAAAGTCTATAAAATTAATAGTTAATATTAGTTTTCAAACAACAATTAAATATATAAGTACTGGCAGGGGAAGTTACAAGCAGTATATGTTTTGTCAGTACTGACAAAATATAACAGCCTACTGCGCGTATTTTTATACAATACAAACATTTATTGTAAAAAAATAATTTATAATATACAAAAAAACTAAACTTTTACACACAAGAATATGACATTATAATGACATCAGGGGCTATTCTAGGAATATAATTTGAGCAATGGTCCCTTCCCCTCAGAAAAATAAAGCGGAAAACTGTTTTTTTGCAAAAATTACAATATTTGTTGTAAAAAAAAAAAAAAAAAAAAGGTCCTTACTTTTTAATTTGGGTGGCGCCCAATTATGGTTGACGCTGTCAAAAGCGGTCTAGAATAGCCCTTGGACATGTATGACAGTATAATAAAAATACATGAAAATATAAACATCATACATATAAACATTGCACAAGACAATATAAATACATTAGTGATCTGATTAAAAAGTACAGAATGTTTAAACGTTTCAACAAAAAAAAAAAAATTACTTGGAGAAATGTTTAATATTCAAAATTTTGTTTGGATACTTATTAAACGTTAAAAAAATTTATGTTTGAATGCATCATTAATTTAATTATTGTAATATTTTTTTAGTTTATTGAATTCATGATTAAATTTCATAATATTCATAATATTCTTTCATAATATTCATTAATTTTTTATTTAAACATTTTTTCCTCAAAATATTTGTCAAAGTTTTTTTTTTAAAGTTTTATTTGGATAATTATCCCTCATATTGTATGTATCATATTTCAGATGTCTAAGTTGAAACCAGGGCTAGTTGCTAAAATTTAGGAAATATGTATATAAATACAAATATTTCAATTTAATTTAAATAACTTTTAATTGATAAATTTTTTTTTGTTGTTTTTAATTTTAAATTGTTTAAATTTTTAAATTGTTAAAGTTTGTCTTTAATGCTTTTTCTTTGAAATAAATTTTTAGTAAGCAATTGTTATTGCTTTCAAAATTTTTTTAAAATTAAAAAAAAAATATTTGCTTGAGTTTTCCAATCCCTCAAAGATTATTAAATTTTAAGATAACAGAAAACAACAAACTAGATGATGACAATCCTGACCTAAGTCTAATTTTTTTAGAAAGAATTTTAAAGAAAAAAATCTAGAACGATAAAAAAAACAGTTGTTGCCCCATCCCATATTCTTAGTTGATTTACTGACATCATTACTTGATGCAATGACACTCTTATGTATGCTCTACCCAGATAGAAAGTCTATGTATTTAATGAAGGCCTCATAGCTGCCTAGAAAAAAAAATTGTTAAAATAATGGGTCATTCCACTGAGTGCCAGATCAGGTAGGGTCATTCCACTGAGTGCAAGTCAGGGAGTTTAGATATCTGCAAAAAAAATCAGGGTAACTTGAGTTAGGCTTTAGAAAAATCATTGAAAAATTAGGGATAATAGCTCTTAGTCAAACCTATGTAAATTGTTTATTGTACACATAATGTAAAGTTTTATTTGGAAGATAATTTTATGAACTTCTCTTCATACTTTAAACGTGTATGTTTATATTTTTGCAATTAAAGGGTATTTTTCTAAAAGAATGTAAGTCTAATTTTGCTGCAGTTGAGTAAAGGTAACTTAATATTATATCTATATCAGGGAATAATCAGATAAAAATCATGGAAATCCACCTTTGAATATTGTCAGACACCCTGTTTCATATAAAAATAATTCACAAAAATTTTTTGTGTCATTTATACATCTCAGGTTTGTTTATTTTTGTTTTTTGCAACTTTGATTTATATGTGGCCTTGTCGCAGTGGCGTTGTGTGGCCATGGTGCTGTGGATCGAGCGCTTGCTTTATTAGTAGGAGATCTAGGTTCGAAACGAGCTCTGGACATATTATCGCCTCACAGTAAGGAAGGAGGCGTGAACTTCCTGGTTAAATGCACTTCTACGATGCTCTGTGACAAGACCGTTAAGTCTTCTTGGAGCGCCTAAAATAAACAAACAAAAAAAAAAAACTCTACACATGATAGTCTCAAGAAATACCTCATTAATCCAACTGTTGTTTATTGGATCTAAAATGGAGGCTGCCACCTTAAATTCCTGTAAAAAATGTTGAATGTAAAAATGTTTATAGTTCTAGGCTTGGTTAGGAAGCAGGTGCGATCGTAATCGATAACTGACCACGGAAATAATATTTAGTTGCAAAAAACTGGCCAGATTTTTTAGTCGTTTTGAGAACATTTAGGGTTTTGTATGTTTCCTTGTTTGTCTGCATAATAATAAGTTTATTTTATTGTAAATTTTAAAATATTTTGTTTTACGGACTTACATGGAAACGTATATAAACTTGAATGTTCTCAAACATCTTAGTACGGAAAAATAAAAAAAGAATATTCGCGAACACAAAAACCCTCCAAATCTACAAGCAACTAATTCTATTACTGTTACTATTACTAATACTAACTGAAATTTCTAGAGTATTCAAAAAATACTAACTGAATGTCCTGAGTATTTTGTTGAATTATTTTTAAAAATTGTATAATTTGAATATTGTTACGTTTTTGTTGAGATTTCTAGCATAAATTATTTTAAAAAGATACTATCAAACGAACTATTATTTAAATTCTTGGAGCCACATCTACAAAGCGATAAATGTTTTAACTAACATTATTTGTTTACAATAATAAATGTTTTAAATTTATATTTTTTAACTTGTCAACGTTTTGTAAAAATATTATAGATTTTATTAGTATATTCATATTTTTTATATATAAGGGATGTATTTTTTATGCATTTTTCATGTATGTAATGTATTTTTATGCATGTAATGTATTTTTATGTATGTAATGTATTTTTATGTATGTAATGTATTTTTATGTATGTAATGTATTTTTATCTATGTAATTTTATGTATGTGTATTTTATTCAAATGTAATCTTAAAAGCAATTTGTGCTATTGATTTTGTAAACAAAAATACTTTCAATAATAACTGCATTTTCAATGAAATTATTAATAATCGTCAAAGTTAATACAAATAATATTAACCTCTAATCCATTTTCCTCAGTGTACCCGATAACTGAATCTTTTTCCCAAGAAAGAAAAGTTTTTAATTTCTTAGAAATTGGTTTACTAACTTTAATTATTTTTGCTTCAGCCATTCTTACAAACTTGTTATACTTAAAGTTACTTTTTTCTGTTTTAAATACTAATTAAAATTATAAAGCCCACTCACTAAACATTATCAGCGGTATTGTGAAGCAGTTCCGCTTCCTCCTCACAAAGTAATTAAACGTTTTTTGTTAATTTCTATCTAGCTAATTGAATTTCTACAGTGAACTACAGTACAACTCAATGATTTAATTATTTTATTTGTTCATCTTACTAAGAAGAATTATTTCAAATATGTTAAACTCTTTAAACTACGTGAAGCATAAAACAGTTATTCAAAAAACTTTTTTATAAATAAATCATCTGGTTGAATCTTGTTGGATTTTTCAGGGCCGGAGGCTGCACTATTTTGGCAGCCTTTTTTAGGTGCCACAGCATAAAAATGACTGAAAAAAATACCGAATGGTCCTCTTGACTCTTCCCCTTAACATTGTGAGTCCCGGGGCTATAGCCCTACTACCCCACCCCACCTCCTCAATCCAGCACTGGAAATAAGACATAAGTATATAAATAAAAATTATATATACTTCGATTTATATATAAATTATATATAAATCGAAGAACATTTGTTTCTTTATAGTTGTTACTTTATATAAAAAATGTTGCTTAATTTTATAAAAAAAATTATAAAAAAGCGACGTTTCAAAAAAATTGCTCTAATACATTTATTTTGCTTAAAGTTTTTTTGCGTTAAAAGCTATTTTTTTTTTTTAACTGTCTCTCATCAGTCCAGTTAATCTTATTGTGCTTTTTTGTTTGTTTTTGAAATGATCTCAAAACGACTAAAAAGTCTGGCCAGTTTTTTGCAATTAAATAATATTTCCGTAGTCAATTATTGAACGCGCTTCCCGACCAAGCCTGTAGTTCTTGAAAAAACAATAAAGAAACCTGTCTCTTATTTGTTGAATTAAAGTATTGATAGCAATACTGAATACTGTCAGCTGCTTCTTTTAATTTTTGTGAAAGTGGTTCTTGGTTTTTTGTAAAAGATCTCTCTTTTTATTGTCCACTTTTGAAAAAACCTGATTGAAAACCATAAGTTATTCGACAGGAGGCAATCAAATGTGCTTCATATCATTCAAGTCTGTTGAGATTTTTGATAACCTTCTTTAAAAGCTTAATCTCATCACTTCAGAAAGTATTTTCTAATAGAATTAAGACATTGACATTTTATTGCTTGAAGAAAAAAAAAGAAAAAAAAGAAAAAAACAAACAAATAATCACCACAAAAAAAATGTAAATAAAGTTACAATAAAATTATTTTAAATGTTTATTTTTTTATTTATTTTTTGTAACCTTTTTTTTTTATCTTTACTTCCATCAAGAAAAAAAAAGAAAAAAAGAAAAAATAATTACCACAAAAAAAATGTAAATAAAGTTACAATAACATTATTTTAAATGTTTATTTTTTTGTTTATTTTTTGTAACTACTAATTAGTATTGGAAGTTACTGGAAGAGAAAATATGAAAATTGTAGAGCAAGATAATGATTGACAGACAACTTAAAA